ATGAGCCACTTGACCTAACATAATTTATGTTAAATATTTGGCTTCACTTATATATCTATCAAAACAGTTTTATCCAAATATATAAATATATATATATAAATATAAATAATATATATATATATATATATTAAATAATTATTGAAATAAATACAGAATATATTATTTATTTTTAAAAATAAATTTAGAATTTATTAAATAATTATAAAAAACATAATATATATTATTAGTTCATTATTAATTAAATAATATTTTCTAAATAAATAAATATAATAAATAATTTATAAATATAAATTAATAAATAAATATATTTAATACTATAATTTATTTTTATTTATTATACAAATACAAGATTATATTCAGTATTAAAGTATTATTATATATATATATATATTATTAAATTTATACTACTCGTAATTATAAAATTATGCATAATTTATTAAGAAATTATATATATTATTCATTTTTATATATTGATTAAATATTTATTAAATAACTAAATGTATTATATAATTTATTAAATATGTATATTAATAAAATAAAATGATATTGTTTAGTTATTTATTTAGTGAAACTAAAATAAATCTAAATATAGTATTTTTTTAATAAAACTTTTAATAAATTCTTTTATTTATCTTATTTAATTTAATTTATATTAAATGTATTTATTAATTATATTATTGAATATATTAATTTTTAATAAATATTTAATTTCTTATTATAATATTAAACTTATTTATTATATTTTATTATCTAATATACTTATTTATTAAATTATTTAATATATTAATTTATTTAGTAAATATTTATATAATATTAAAATTAAATTGAATTAAATATATAATATATTTATTTAAAAATCAATTTAAGTGATTATTTATTTTTTATACACTAATTTAATATCAACAACCTTTAATAACATTATATTACTGAATATATTTAATAATTTATATTTAATATATTTATTTAATTAGCAAATATTTATTTAACTAATAAAATTTTTAGTAATACATATAATGTATTATTTAATAACTAAAATATATCGTGTATTTATAAATTATGTATTAGTTTAATAATTAAAAGTATTATAACTTAAATAATATATGTCTATATTATTTTTTGGTACAATATATATGTATATTATTAAATTAGTTTTAGTATGAAAAGTAATATAAATTAAATTTTATATATATATTTATATTTATATATTTATATATTTGGATAAAACTTTTTTGATAGATATATAAGTGAAGCCAAATATTTAACATAAGTTATGTTAGGTCAAGTGGCTCATGAGCCACTTACATGGCCTTTCCATGCAGGTTCGAACCCTCTCCTCTACAATTTTTTTTGTAATTATGCCACATATTCCACGTGGCTTACAACTCAGCAAAAAAAAAAAAAAAAAATCAGAACTCCACGTAGACTACCCGGTAAAAGTGACCTGCATTTGCCGGTGGCAGGACCATTTCTCACGATTTTT